ATAAAAAAAAACCACTTCTAATTTTCTGACAAATTCTTCTAGACTTACTAACATTTCTATCTATATCCGACGTTTTAGTGTAACTTACGATCATGAAAACGTGTGTGCAAACAACGCACTTTAGTATCAGCATAGAATAATAATTAGAAGAATAAATAGAATAATAAAAAAACACTTCTAATTTTCTTCTAGACTAGCCATCCTAAGCCTTGAAAGTTCCCACTTTTCTAAATACAAATTTTCTATTTATCTCAAACAACTCACTTTAATATCATCAAGAGAATTAATAAAATAATAAATAAAAAACAAACACTTATAATTTTCTGACAAATTCTTCTAGACTAGCCATTCTAATCTTTGAAAGTTTCCATTTTTACTACAATTTTCCTATTTATCTCAGACGTTTTACTATAACTAATTTACGATCATGTAAACGTGAGTGCTTGCCTGGATAAAGATAATATAATATATGCATATTTACTTACTACCTAAATTGTGATGCTATTAGTTATACTGTCTAGTTTCGTTGACTCTTATCGACTTCCATTAATACAACTGATCGTATCGAATGAAGAATTGTACACATCTATATCTTATATGTCCTCTACAATAGAAAAGGTGTAACTTTTCCACGCTTACATCATTAAGTCTATCTATTTTTCCAGTATTGCGCGAGTGACGTACAGCAAACAAAGATATTAGTTATTAATATTAATAAATGTCTGATGGAGAGACAGAATTATGCATAATTCAGTATCAGTACCGAAGGGGACAAAAACAAGTTAGTTAGAATCTCGACGAGATTAATGAAAGATAATTATTATAGAATGATTTGTATCGGCCAAAGATCATGTCCAATTGCAAAAGTAGAATACTAAGTCTTATTGTTACTGATACAAGTTAATTGTTATTTTCGCGGACTTTAAACATTGGTCGATTCTTTATCTATTTCTCCCGGTTATCACTTTGTGTTTATCTATTATTTCTATGGACGATTAACAGTTCTTCTATATGAATCCACGTCTACGTACAGGATTGCTCCATGTGTTACTTAAAATGTAGTTGCAATTTCGAATAAACTGAATGCACTGATTTCTAATCACTGGCTTATTTTTATAGATAAAAATACAATGAATAAGAATAAAAAACAGGTCAGTGATTAGAAATTATGAAGAAATTTTTGTAAATTTCAAAGAAGGCATATGGTATACAAGTATAAATGAATCATATATAGTTGCAACTACGAATAGAATGTAAAATAATACAGACTGTCCCAGAAAAATCATTAGAGCCGAAAAAGGATGATTCTTTAGGTGTTTTTGAGCAACAATTTCCTTTGGCGAAATGCAAAGCGAGGTATAGTTTTTGAATTACTAACGAAAAACACTGACCAATGAGAGCGCGCGTAAGGCCTGCGCTGACCAATGGCCGAGCGCCACGAACTGAGCCACCATTGCCGTGACTGAGCGCGGGCCTTACGCGCGCTCTTATTGGTCAGTGTTTTCCGTTAATAATTCAAAAACGATGCCTCGCTTTGAATTTTGCCAAAGGAATTGTTGTTCAGAAACACCTAAAGAATCACCCCTTTTCGGCTCTTATTCGAAATTTAATAAAGAATATAATATACAATTAATAATTAATGGAGCAACCTGTACGAACGTAATAACGTAGTAACAGGCGTTTGATAGCATAATAATTAGAATATCACATGCACTTTAAGTAGGATTGTCAAACACTTATCTATACAGATAGTGTCCCGATGTTATATACCACGAATGTGACACGATAGTAATAATACACGTATGTATATTCATGACTGAAAGCAGTTTTATGTATACCCTTTGAAGTATGATAAGATATGAAATTAGAAATCAAAGAAGCATGGGAGCCCTTTGCCATATAAATATCTTGTATTCGCATAAGTACTAATGTGCAACGAAATATCATCTGTTATAAGCAGAAAATTTAGATAATAGAGACACCCTAATTGTATTGATTTCGTGCACTATCAACATTTTCCTTAATTATAATTAATAGACGCGTAAAAGAGAAATTCGACATAGACGAGCACATTTAGAGCAGAAATTTTCTTAACGGAAATCCCGCTAATATAATAAATTAATAAATTACAACCGAGCGTCTCGGTTCGTTTCGTAAATAGATAAAAGCGAATAAATTAGTCGCGACGAAATAAGAAGAGAAACGACTAACGAGTTTAATTACAAATCGTGTTACCACGCTCTACCCGCGATAGTAAATTCTGTACAAATTGGCATTACGTATATCACAGTTACAATACATAAACACGTGGACAAATGCGGGAGGAAATTCTGCACAGCACTGCTTGCCTTAGCTTTCTACAGCTAGACATCTCACTAATACCACATCTCTAAACATGAAAATTACATAAAACACAAGCGACGTCCATCTTTTTCTCATTGTGCAAGCATTTTTATCTGAGCAATTCGATACGTCTATCCTATAACCTAACATTCACTGGATTTATATCTCGAAACCGGATCTATCAATTTGTCACAGAACAGAACACTGTGTATCGTTTCTGTCACGATTTTTGATTTACCTTAGGAAGAAAACAACAGGCAGGAAGCAAAACCGATGTAAAGTGGGGAATACTAATATGAGAGAAAATGCATGAAAGAAACGCATGATTAAAAGCTGAAATTGTCCTAAATTCTGCTAGTATATGTGGAGACGTTGCTTGACATGGTCCCCAATGATTATTTAAGCTCTGCGTAAAAGCAAATTAACACCCAGCATAGGTATTATCATAATCCCGACAAGAAAGCTTTCTCGACACACGTTTTAAATAGTAGAACCGTTTTTTAAAAGCATTTACATTTCCCTTCTGTTTCATGTATGTAATAACACTCTTGAATTCAAATTCAACACTAAATAAAATATTGTATTAGGTGAAGCTTATTATAATAAAACGGAAAATTACAATATTTAAGATATCAAAAGTTAGTTAAGTACCAAAATTATTAAGGTATAAAGTTAGTTTGTTCAGTTTTTATAGTTAGTATCTAAGCGAACTGCGAAATATTATTTAGTGCTGTTTTACTAAATGTACAAAATGCTATTAGAAAACATGAGAAATTCAAATGCTTCACGTTTCTTCTTTTTCATTGTCCAGTTCCGTATTATACAGAGGCCCTCATTAATATTGGTGACATTTCAAAGCGGACTAACTTTTTCATATTGGACTGATCAACTTAATTTGTTTTAGATGTTAGCAAGCTTAGTTTCTTGGATAAAAAAACTCTAAGAAGTTCGTAATAAAGTAAGAGCCTTTTAACATCTTTATTTGAGTCAGTAACGAGAGCCTGAAACATGATTTTTGTAGATCTAATAAGTTTCATCAAAATCGATTAAAATTGCTATGAGTTACAAATTATTTCAAATTGACAGGTTTTAATAATTTTCTATAATTGAAACAAACCGAAATATCTTCACATGTTTCAATGCTTCTAATTTTTCTGTACTTCAGTCGATATTAATGAAATTTTGTACATGAACTTATTTCGA